GTATGTGAAATAGAGCCTGTCTGCATGGCAGTCAGCTAAGTATGTGAAATAGAACCTGTCTGCATGGCAGTAAGGGTCAATTATGTGAAATTGAGCCTGTCTGCATGGCAGTTAATTGGGCTCAAGTATGTGAAATAGAACCTGTCTACATGGCAGCAAAGCTAAGTATGTGAAATAGAGTCTGTCTGCATGGCAGTTTAGCTCAAGTATGTGAAATAAGAGCCTGTCTGCATTGCATTAAGGCTAAGTATGTGAAATAGAGTCTGTCTGCATGGCAGTCAGGATAAGTATGTGAAATAGAACCTGTCTACATGGCAGCAAAGCTAAGTATGTGAAATAGAGTCTGTCTGCATGGCAGTCAGGATAGGTATGTGAAATAGAGCCTGTCTGCATGGCAGTCAGGATAGGTATGTGAAATAGAACCTGTCTGCACATGGCAGTTTGGCTCAAGTATGTGAAATAGAGCCTGTCTGCATGGCAGTCAGGCTAAGTATGTGAAATAGAACCTGTCTGCATGGCAGTAAGGCTAAGTATGTGAAATAGAGCCTGTCTGCATGGCAGTCAGGCTAAGTATGTGAAATAGAACCTGTCTGCATGGCAGTAAGGCTCAAGTATGTGAAATTGAGCCTGTCTGCATGGCAGTTAATTGGGCTCAAGTATGTGAAATAGAGTTTGTCTGCATGGCAATTGGGCTCAAGCATGTGAAATAGAACCTGTCTACATGGCAGCAAGGCTAAATATGTGAAATAGAGTCTGTCTGCATGGCAGTTTGGCTCAAGTATGTGAAATAGAGCCTGACTGCATGGCAATCAGGCTAAGTATGTGAAATAGAACCTGTCTGCATGGCAGTAAGGCCAAGTATGTGAAATAGAACCTGTCTGCATGGCAGTAAGGCCAAGTATGTGAAATAGAGCCTGTCTGAAAGGCAGTAAGGTTAAGTATGTGAAATAAAACCTGTCTGCATGGCAGTCAGGATAAGTATGTGAAATAGAACCTGTCTACATGGCAGCAAAGCTAATATGTGAAATAGAACCTGTCTGCATGGCAGTTTGGCTCAAGTATGTGAAATAGAGCCTGTCTGCATGACATTCAGGCTAAGTATGTGAAATAGAACCTGTCTGCAAGGCAGTAAGGTTAAGTATGTGAAACAGAGCCTGTCTGCATGGCAGTCAGGCTAAGTATGTGAAATAGAGCCTGTCTGCATGGCAGTCAGAATAGGTATGTGAAATAGAACCTGTCTGCATGGCAGTAAGGCTAA